AGCAGTGGGCGTGGAGGGGAAGCCGTGTGCGTGGAGGGGAAGCGCTGTGTGTGTATGGGAAGCCGTGTGCGTGGAGGGGAAGCGCTGTGTGTGTACGGGAAGCCGTGTGCGTGGAGGGGAAGCGCTGTGTGTGTACGGGAAGCTGTGTGCGTGGAGGGGAAGCGCTGTGTGTGTACGTGGAGCCGTGTACGTGGAGCCGTGTGCGTGTAGAGCTGAGTGTTCCCCTTGCGTTGCGGCTGGTGTGTAGCAGGAGGGCGCGCCCTTCTCACCCGCTGCCTGCGGGTGTTTCTCATTAGGGACGGCTTCCGCCCTATCAGATGCTTTTCTGCATCTTTGAGTTGATTACATGTTCCTCCTCGCGGGCCGTTGATGTGGTGAGGGCGACGGAGTTTTTTTTTTCCGGTCAAGGGCATGCACCTTGGTTGCGGGCACATCCCCAGTGGGGAGTGTGCAGGAGGCAGCTGATCGATGTTTCTCTCTCATCGATGTTTCCAAGTCTCTATCCCTCTCCCTTCCTCTCTGTAAAAAATCAATAAAATATATTTAAAAAAACAAAAAACGAAAACCTTTGGCGTTGCTGGTCGCTCCTAATGCAATGTGCATCTTTCACGCCATCGGATTGTGCTCTTGTCTTTATTATCTCCCGTCTCTGTTGTTTGGATTTAAATTTTCTCTTTTTTTTTAACTTCTTCAGACAGGCGTCCGCCTCTCCTCTCCCCTAAGACGCGCCTCGGTCACCATCTGCCCCGAGCGCTGCCCACTCACCGTGGCACTTTATTCTCATCCAAATAAAAATGCTGTCCAGCTCTTACCAGCTGCCGCCCTCACCCTTGAGTCACTTAGATGGACGCCCAGACGTGAGGGAGCGTCGTCGTCCGCCTCCCTGATTCCCCTCCAACTCGCCGTGGCCGGGACCCGGGCGCCGCGGTGCCGTTTCTCTGGCGTCTCTCGGGACTGGCTGTGCGAGCCCCGCCTGGGTCCCCCCTGGGGAAGGCCCCACGGTGACGGTGACGATGCCGCGGTCCCTGCCGATCGGTGTCCGCGCTGGGCTCTCTGAGGTTCTGTCGTCCTTACGTCTCCGTGGGGGTTTTGCTAGCTCTCCTCTCGGCTACGCACCGACCGTGTGTCCTGTCACCTCTGAGTTCTGCCCGGTCTGGCTTTGTGGGTTTCAGGGTTCTGATTGTGGGCGCATACGGGTTTCGAATGGAGGCCCTCCTCCGAGTCGGACCACGTGTTAAACTCAGGACCCTCGTCATCTCTGGCCTGAGCGCCCTGCACCAGCCCCTGGACACACCGGGTGTACCTTCCCTGCCCTCGCACGCCCCCCGCCCCCCCATTAAAGGGGTTTCTCGGCAACATCAGCTCGTCTCCAGTCCCGCCGGACGCGCTTGGTCTTAGGACGCGCGGTCCCTTCGAAGCGCGACCACCTGCTGCCTGGCACCTGGCTCTCATTCGCTCAGGGCTTCCTGCACCCCTTTCCTGCCTCCTTCGGATCAGTCACGTGATGCGACTCTTTCCTTTTGACCCCCCGGGAGCTGGTTGGTTCATCACCCTTTGGTTACCCCCTCGGCGGTCGCCTAGAGACCATCACATCCATCCTGGACCACTAGGATGCCAGCGTGGCCTCCGATGGGCACCGGGACCCTCGCCCTGGCAACGCACGGGCTGCCACGGCAACCTCACCGAGGCCTCCGCCTCCCGCGCGACTTTCACCGTGTAGTTCAGCTCATGCTCGGGTCACACGGACACGAGTATGTGGCCCTTTCGCACACGGATTTAGAGCATCTTCCTACCCAGCTGACGGCCTCACGCGAGGGCAGGCTTAGCAAGAGGCAGGGAGCGGGAAACATCCATGTGAGAGAGAGACATCAGTCCGTCGCCTCTCATACACTCCCAACTGGGGGGTCAAAGCCGCCCCCCAGGTCTGTGCCCTGTCCAGGAGTGGGGCCAGCCACCTCTGGGTGCATGGGACGATGCTCAACCCACTGAGCCCCTCTGGCCGGGCTTGACCACTTTTTTAATTTTTTATTGATTGATTGATTGATTGATTGATAATCCTCACCCGAGGATATTTTTCCATTGATGTTTAGGGAGCGTGGAAGGGAGAGAGGGGAAGACAGAGACAAACTTCGATGTGAGAGAAACACATTAATTAGGTTGCCTCCTACGTGTGCCCCGACCAGGGCCCAGGCTGGGGAGGAGCCTGCAACCGAGGTCCATGCCCTTGACGGAAATCGAACCCGGGACCTTTGGTCCACAGGCCGGCGCTCTATCCACTGAGCCCTCTGGCCAGGCTTGACCCTGTTTAAATTCTGGAACACTTAAACCTCGTGGGACAGGGTGGTCGGGTCCACACTGCCCAGCTTTCTCGTCCGCCTGCCCTCCTCCATGCCTCGGCCCCTCCCCGTACTTCCAGCTTCCTTCTGGGGTCCTCCTCTTTGCCGGGGGGGCCCCGTCCTTCTTCAGGCCGCTCCCCCAGAAGCAGGGCCTCCTGGATTGGGCTGCACCTTCCTGTGTGTGTATTCGTTCATCTGTACACACACAAGATGCACACGGCTCCCGTCTGACCAGCTAAGCGCACAGCTCAGAGGCCTGAGGCGCGTTCGCAGGGTCGTACAACCACCACCCCCGTCATCGCCAGAACGTCGCCTCTTCCCCCTCTGACGCCCTGTCCCCGTCACACACGAGTCCCCAGCCCCTCCCCCGGCCCGGCACCCACTGCCCTACTTCCTGTCTCTGGGGATCTGACCCCTTGGGGACCTCACGGGTGGCTCAGCAGGTCTGTCCCCCTGGGTCTGGCTTCCCTCACTCGCACCTTCATGTACGAGGACCTGAGCGATGGGTATAGAACGCTAAGTTGATAATTGTCCGTGAGCACTTTAGAGATGCCGTCTGGCTTTCTTCCTCCCTGACAAGCCGGCCATCGGACAAGGCCGTCCCCCACCGCCCTCTCGCTCCCGGACACCCCGTGCCTCCGGGCGGCTCGGCCTCCTCTCAGGGCCTGGGTCTGGGCGCCGTGGGTCCCCGGAGCAGCTGGAGTTGGTGGCCTCCTGTCTGCCATCATTTGGGGGAGACGATCAGCCCCCAAGTCTCCAGGATTCTGTGTCCCCCTCGCGTCTCCGCTCCTTTTGCGATCTCACGAGTGTCAGGACTTTGAGCCGTCTGTCTCTCCTGGTGGCACTTTTTCCTCTCGGTTTAATTCTGCCTTTTTCCATCCCCGGGGCTATTTTCATCCAGCCCACAAGTATCCTTATCTCCAGGCCCCTCTGCTCCCAGGCCGCCTGCCCTGTCCTTCTCAGGACTTCCTTCGTCTGATTTTTCATAGAGATTTCATTTCTCTGGCAAAACTCTCCGCTTCCCATCCAGTTCCTTGAACCTGTTCACCTGGTTATTTCAGACCTCAGCCCGGCCGGCGGGGCTCAGGGGCTGAGCGTCGACCTAGGAACCAGGAGGTCACAGTTCCATTCCCAGTCGGGGCACAGGCCCGGGTTGCAGGCTCGATCCCCAGTGCGGGGCGTGCAGGAGGCAGCCGGTCCACGATTCTCTCTCATCATTGGCGTTTCCATCTCTCTCTCTCTCCCTTCCTCTCTGAAGTCAATAAAAATATATTAAAAAGTAGCAATAAAGTAACCACAAATGAGCAGACGCGTTTTTAAATAAAGGGCCTCCGCAGACAGCTCAGAGGTGAACCCCATCACCGACCTGCGTGTGGGCCTGCGGCCGGCCTTGGGCTGCCCGTCAGGGTGGGCGCCGTGGCTCGTCCCAGGGGCAGCTGGTGGGACGTGGTCTCTGTGGCCTCACATCTCCGCAGCTGCTGGGTGCCAGCTGGGCGCCTCCCACGCGGCTTCCCCGGCAGCCCCGTGTGGTTGGGGATTTTGACCGATGAACCAGGAGGTCACAGTTCACGGACAGCACCGAGCCTCCGCCTCTCGGGTCGGCTCCCAGGACCCACTCCCCCCGTTTCTCGGTCTCTGGAGGCTGAGGCGAGGCCGGGCTCCCTGCCGTCACCTCCGCCCAGGTGACCGGTTCTCCCCCGGCTGCGGAAGGTGCAGGCGGGGCACCTTGGTCCGGGCCTGGACGGAGATGACCTAAGGCCATGGGGGTCTCAGCCGAAAGCCCCCCTCCTTGGTAGACTCTGAACCCCAGTCTTCCCAGGGCCGTCAGTCTGCGGCAGGCTCTGCTTAGCTTTCACCTCCGAGCAGCTTCTCTAGCTCAGTTCATCAGGGTCTCACCCCAGCCGGTGCCCCTCACCCCAGCTGGTGCTGCCTGACTCACAGATGCCTCGAGGGCCCTTGCGTGGCAGGCACCCCCTCTCTGGGCCCCCCCATTGACCAGGATCTTGTCCCCTCAAATCCTTGCTGTCTGTGCCCTGATGCCCTGCTTCTCCGCCAGCACCATTCAGCCTGTGTCCACACCGTGACCCCAAAGCTGCCCTAGAGGTGCGGGCGGCCACCCCTCAGGCCCCTGGTTGGTCCCTCCGCTCCTGGGCGGGGCACTCCTGGCTGGGGCCGAGGCTGCCACCAGCGGTGGGGGTCGTGCGGCGGGTCTGGCTTTGGGCGGTTTCAGCAGAAGGTTTGTTCAGAATGAACATCGGAACCGAAGCGAAGCCCCCGTGTCCTTCCCGTCTTCTCCTCTGCAAACGTGTTTCGTGGGTTGTGGTGTCTCTGTCGATGGTGTTTCTAGAAGGAGCTTTAGACACGGGGCCGAGCGGCTCAGCAGTGACTGTCCTCGGCCACCAGTCCTGCAGGCCCTGCCCTTTCCAGACGCCCATCTCCCCCGCCCCGCAGGCTGCGGGAGCACCCCCCCGCCACCATCAGGGTCATCCGCCGCATGCAGTACTTCGTGGCCAAGAAGAAGTTCCAGGTGAGTCCGCTCACGCCTGCTGCCCG